TGGAGGGCTGAGGCAGAAGGATCACCGGAACCCAGCAGGTCGAGGCTGCGGTGGCCGGGAGCGGCCACTGCACTCCAGTCTGGGTGACAGAGTAAGACTCCAACTCAAGAAAAAAGAAAAAAAATAAAACCCAAAAAAACAAAAGAAAAAAATTAGCTGGGCATGGTGGCACACACCTGTGGTTCCAGCTACTTGAAAGGCAAGGCGGAAGGATCACCTGAGTCGAGAAGGTCAAGGCTGCAGTGGCCATGAGCATGCTACTGCACTCCAGCCTGGGTGACAGAGTGAGACTCCTATTCAAAAAACAAAAAGAAAGAAAGCCCCTGGTCATAAGTATATAGAGCTCCTATTCCTTGAAAAGTGAAGTGTGACTTGTTCTAGATATAAACATAAGGAAAGTGCTCTATATCAGCATCTGCTGGATAGTGCTTAAAAAGTGTCCAGAATAAGAAAGAGTAGGGGATGGGGGGAATAGTATCACCCTAATCTTATTATTGTACTAGCCTGCAGGTACTGAGAAGGAAGGCTAATGTCCTGCTTAGGCCTTTCAGAGATCCAGAATCCTAGGTCACTTTGACTTCTGGGATTGCAGGTATATCTAAAAAAAAAAAGAAATCACAAAAAAGAGATATAAAATTGTTGTATATTTTTAGTGTTTATGTTTTACAAAGTAATGCTTTTGACACACAAAAATGTGGCTATTTACTTCATGTCATTCAGCAATAACTTAAAAATTTTAAATTAGAGGGTTTTTGTAAATGTGTCTTCTTTGCCCTATGCAGCTACCTATCTTAATTTTTGGGCCTATCAAAAAGTATTAGGGTGGCTAGGCATGGTGGCTCATGTCTATAATTCCATCACTTTGGGAGGCAGAGGTGAGAGGATTGCCTGAGCCCTTGGGTTTGAGACCAGCCTAGGCAACTTGGTGAGACCTCATCTGCACAATAAATAAAAAAATTAGCTGGGCATGGTGGCATGTGCTTGTAGTTACAGCTACTTGGAAGACTGAGGCAGAAGGATCACCTGAGCCCAGAAGGTCCAGGCTGCAGGGGCCAGGAGTGTTCCACTGCCCTCCGGTCTGGGTGGCAGAGTGAGATTCCTCAAAAAACAAAAACAGTAAGTATTAGTGTGACATAGATTCTTCAAAAAGGAGGAATGACTTCTACTCTAAGACTTGAAAATAAGCAATTTAATAATCTTGTCAATTGGAAATATAATAATAATATATATAAAATATATAATAGTAATTCCCTCTACTCTAAGACTTGAAAATAAGCACAATTTAATAATCTTGTCCGTTGGAAATATAATAGTATTAGCCAAAGAGGGGAGACAGGTTAAAACTGGTGTGAAGAGCATGATGTTATGCAATATGTGTCCTTTTATTGTATGTGTGTGTGTATGTATATATAATGTCAGTAATGAGATATATTAACCACTGGTTATGTATTAACCAGTGTTAACAGTGTTTATCTCTGGGAGGAGGTATTAGGTATAACTTTTATTTTATTCTTTATACTTTGAGTATTTTTTATACATTTTTGTAATGTACATGTACTTTAATAATTATAAAAACAAAATGTGGTAGCTTAATAAGAAATAATTTGGAAGAGAAACCTTGCAGAGAAGTAAATGGCACTTTCATAGAAACTGTTTTGTCTAGTTGTATCTATAACTTGGTCTATAATGGTGACACCAAGAATTGTGCCTTGTTTTGAAGTGATTTACAGACTGAAGTCCACATCCCAAAGCACACATAGGAGCTCTCCCTTCTCCTTTGCCATCTTTCCTATCCTTAGTTTTCAAAAATCTCCACTGGTAAGAGAGTATAGAATTCAGAGTTATTAACTGATAAGGGAATCACAAAAATCCTCACAAGAGTCTTTCTTGCTTTGTCAGGGGAAACAAGTTGTTTCCAAAGCAAGATGAACTATTTTGATTCTGTCACTAAATTTCTCTAAAGAAAGTCAGTATAAATGTTATCCAAATTATACTCTTGCAGAAGAGTTGATGAGTGTAGACTTTGCCACAGGTTTCATCTCCTGGGAAATCTCATGTTTCTGGATTAGAAAATATTCTGTGGTAGATAAGGCTGGGCAGGGTGGGGATAAAAGTAAGCACTGATCCTGGACTAAGAGCTTCTGTTTTTTTGTTTTTTGTTTTTTGGAGTCGGAATCTCACTCTGTCACCCAGACTGGAGTGCAGTGGCACACTCACGGCTACCGCAGCCTCGACCTGCTGGGCTCAGGTAATCCTTCCACCTCAGCCTCCCAAGTAGCTGGAACTACAGGTGTGCACCGCCATGCCCAGCTAATTTTTTGATTATTTAGAGACGAGGTCTTGCCAAGTTACCCAGCTGTCTTGAACATCTGGGCTCAGGCAATCCATTCACCTCTGCCTCCCAAAATGCTGGGATTACAGGCATGAGCCATTATACCTGGCTATGCTTCTAAGTCTTAATCATCCTCCCCAGTGGTCCTGGAAATCAGCAGACTGACTTCGTGACTTCCTTCCTTCCTTCCT